GAGAGAGGGCCCCACCCTGAATAGAGCGAGAATGGAGAGATAATTATTAGGGATGGAGATGGCGATGGGGACAAAATTTAATCCCCAAATTCGTGGTGGGGTAGGGACAGGGAAAGTATTCCCTACCCTATTTTCGCGTTAATATTAATGTATTATTTTTTTATGTGTATATATATATACATAATCTTTTAAAATTACTTTCTACTTAAAAAAAAAAGAGTAACTGCATTTTTTTCATTGGGAAAGGAAAGCTACAGATTACAGTTCCTTGTACTGAGAAAAAATAGAACAATTACTAATCTTCTCTTATATTACATACACATAAGGATGCTTTGTCTAGTGCCTCCTCATCTTCTTTTGAAGCTATTAGGAATATCTAAGTAAGGATTATTTACGTTTTTATTTTGATGTTTTTAAACTTTTTTCGCTTATGCATTAATTATTACTTTTGGATTCAGTCAGCAATATGTTAAAAATTTTGTTTTTACTATAAAATCTTTAATTTTAGTCTAAATTTATAATGAATTTTTATTCTATTTTTATTTTAAGTTGATAGAATTTTAAAATGTATAATCTTATATTTATGCGATATTTACAGAGAAGGCTTCCCCAATAAAAAATCTCCGAATCCGACCTGTCCTTCCTTATGCAGGAATGGAGGCGGGGATAGGAATATTTTAAAGAGGCGGAGATTAAAATGAGAAATAATCATCTGCCCCTATCCCACACCATCCCTAATGGAAACGTAAGTACTTAACTATTAAAAACTCGCCTTATCATATAAATATAGATATAGATATCTTCTTTCTCGTAATCATTATCGTATTGCCTCCACAATTACACGTGCCCCTTAGGTTAGTATTAAAGAAATGACAGCAACAATTACAACCTCTGCCAACAATGCCGTTACATTTTCAAAAGTTCTTCAGGGTCAGAAACTCAGAGTTCACTGAATCACCAAAATGATAAAGCGCATATTATTTAAATTCATCATCAAACTCAAGAATTATAAGGGCTGTTTCATCGATTGATAACTGATCCAGATCCTCTTTATTTCTTGAACCTGAATTTGCTGATCTTAGCCTCTTGCACGCTAAAGCAGCACAAAATATCCAGCAATATTTATGCTCCTGAAAATTAAAAGACCCGAGTTTAATATTTGATACACAAAATCTATTGAAGTTTTTATAGTATAAACAAACTTATATTGAGTTTACTATGAATTATCACAATATTCTTACTATATAATCACAGTTAATGTTCATGGTATAAAGAATCTCAAGTGAAATGTTTTAGATAATCATAAACGAGAGTGATGAGTTCAAAACAAGAATGTTAAGAAAGTGGATAAATATATTAAAAACCCACCTCTGTTTACTCGAGCACTACTTTGGTTTTCCTTTGAATATGGCGTACAGGAATTATAAGTGCATCAGGACTTGTGGGAGAGGTAATGTTATAAACTCTTTGTCAGTGTTTTAGGGGTCATAAAGCCGCAAAAATCAGTTGTTTAGCTCTAACTGGAGCAGGGGGGGGACTAAGCGTTACTCTCATCAGCTTCCGAGCTACAAAAACGACATCCAATCAGTACTCAAACGACTCACATACACCAAACTATGTAAGTAATCAAAAGAACAAAGTAATGGAATTTTGATTTTTAAAGACTTGGGCTTTCATTGTAAAAGGTCAACTTATTAATCGGGATGCGTTTGTTTTCGTATTTTAATAATGTGAGACTTGGATTTATTTTACCCATGATAATATTTTGCACATGATAAACTAAAAAATTAAGTGAGAAAATATGGACGCATATAATTTAATATCTTGAGGGAGTAAACACATAAATTTCATATTTTTAAGGAACAAATTTCAAAATATAACAAAATATACATACAAAATTAAAAGAAAAAAAAATTCAAGTGGAGCGGCAGCCTACTCTCGTAAAGGTGTGGCTCCGACTCTCGGAACTTACCTGCAGTAACTTGAGAGAATTGCACGACCACAGTGGAAAGGATGAGTAAGAACACAAGAATGATTGACGGGTATAACAAAGAGAACTTCATCTTCAAGATATCTTGAAAGAAATTAGTTGTCTTATATCCAAGTTTGTGTTAGAGCAATTGGCAAGGAGTTTGGTTTGGGATCTGTGAAGTATATCTACAAGGAGGATCTAGCAAAGAGTGTTTTTTGGGTTTAAGGCTGAATTTCAGTGGGAGATTCTTGGAAGTTGCGTTTGGCGTTTCCTAGTATCTCAACCGGCCGTAAAATTCCACATGAAAACTGCGTTTGAGAAGTTGCGTCTAGATTTATTGAAAGCTATGTTTTGCGGTGTTCATAATGATGAAAGATTGCAGAAATTGTGCTTCTTTATACATTATTGTTGCTGTTGTGTCTTAATTAGTAGTTTTCCCAACTTTTCATAGAAGTTTCCCTAGTACTTTCTCATGTTATGAAAAGATTATGAAAATAATAGTGAGATTTTGACTTATAGGACGGTTACCCATTTTGAGAATTAAAGCACCTTTTTCCTTGAAGAATCACTTGTTAGAAAATACGAGATTCCATACCTTATCACATAATTATGTAAAATAAAAATGTAGAGATAGTTCTTGCACTCATAGTGCACGTTTTCAAAATCAAAACAAATAATAATAATAATAATAATAATGTTAATATTAATAACTTATGTAAATCAGAAATGTTCAACACTGGTTTTTAGGATTCAATTCTGCAAAGAAAGAAATCAGTTGGATCTTAAATTAAACGTTCATTGTAGAAAATTTACGGCTTTATAAACATGCCACCATATAAAAATCCAACATAACAAAATCTATTGATGCTAAAACAATAATAATAATGACCATTAGGTCAAATGGCATATTAGAATGCAGGTTCGATCCATAAATACCCACCTTATCCCACCCCATATTGTTTAACTTAGTGGTTATTAATGTAACAATATTTTTTTAATTTTTCATTCTTTTTTCAGTGATAATAAAGGGAAGAAAATGGATAAATAACCAAATAACTAAAGAGTGGTTCTATTCAAACACCTATTTACGCCCCTTTCAATTAAAACTTCTTATTAAAATAGACCCTCACATAAATGACAACAAAAGACAATTATAATAGACTTAATTACATAATTAAATTTTATAATAAAAAGAAAATTAATGATTTTTTTTTTCTCTCTACACAACCTACATATGGTATCCTCAAATTATAAACTAGTGCAATTTTGCAATCTTTAACAAAAATCCTAATTTTCACTTTTTAATGACTCTTCTAAAAAATTTCATAGAATTATACTTTTTTTTTCTGTTTGTTCTTGACAATTGTTCATTTACCTTTTTTTCATTTCTTTTTTTTTTTTGGTAATCATTTCATTTTCTTAAGACTAATCATATTATTTTTCATTTTTTTATAAAGTTTTGTTGATTGCATATTTTTCATTTCATTCCTTTTCCCCCTGTGGTCATATGCTGTTTAACAAGTTCAATTTGCTTTTTTTTTAATCAATTTGTTTTTTCTAATCATACATGTTGATATGATATAATTATGTTGATGTTCAGTTTAACTTTTTATTTTTTATTTTTTGATTATGAGACTTGTTTTGTTTTTTAAATAACAATTAAAATAAAATGGTGAGTGTAAAGAGAAAAATGAAGTGGTCAAAAATAAATAATATTATTAAAATAATTAAGGTCGATTATGAAATAATAGGGGTGTGTAAAAAGAAATTTTAATCTTTAAAAATTATGTGGGGTGTCTAATTAAAAGGGGGTGTAAAAAGTAAAAAAATGTTGTGAATAGAACTACTCATAACTAAATAACTGAACGTTTTATATATTAGTAAAAAAACCTTTTTCATACCGTAGTTGATTAATCATAAGTAATAAATGATAAATTAAAGTTAATAAGTTTATAGTAAATTTAATCAGGGATTCAAATTACTCAATGATAAATTAAAATTAATACAAAAACACAATCATTTTTTTTAATTTTATAAAACTTCAGTCATTTATTAAAAAACAAAAAGAAAAAACTAGTCGTTCTCATCAAATCCGCTAATTTGACCAATCTGCATAATTCAATCCGTGATTACGGATATGATTAGATTGAAAGAATTTTAAATTGGTAATCGATTGAGATTTTTTCAATCTGCAATAATAAATTAGATTGCGGATTGAACATTTTTTAATCCGCATAATGAATTATATATATTATATTTTGTCTATGTATATTTAAATAACATATTTAACATTTTTTTTTCAATTATATAATACATATATAAAATTTAAGTATGTATGTAATTATGTATAGAATATCAATACTATTTTAATTTTATGTTATGTTATATTTGTATTTAATTTTATTATTAATGTTATTTGAATATTGGAAAAAGAGATGGACGATAAGAGTCAATGTTTAAAACGTAGGCTAATCTATGAATCCGCATAATTTAATATGCAACGAATTTCATGGATTGGAGTGGATTAGAAGTCTAACGGATTGGTAACGCATTGAAATTTTTTCAACCTGCGATAACAAATTGGATTGTGAATTGACCCTTAGGCCTTGTTCATTTCACGAATTTGATTTTTTAATATAGGTTTCTACAGTTAAAAACTTTCAGAAAATGTCACATCTAACTTTTTATTACAATTAAAAGCTCTTAAAAAATATCACATCTCAGTTTGAATTGAAAACTCAAACCCGCAAAGCGAATGAGGTTAATTCACAAAATCCGACTCGCAAACCCGCCCAAACAAAAAACTCTCATCTACCCCCAAATCCCAAGAGAAAATTAAAAAATATTTGTGAGATATTTATTTCAAAAGTTGGTTCTTGATTCTGAATCATAATTTTTAATTTTCTACAATAATTTTTTCTTTTACAAAAAAATTTGAATTTTAAATCACGGTTTAAGTCTCATTAAAGATTTTTCTATAATAATTCGTACAACTTGCGCGCGGCCCTTCACCGAAACAATCCCTTTAACCCTTAAAACTGGAACTACCGGTAAACTTGTCCCAACTAAAACCCTGAACCCCTCGATTTCATTTCACTCCGCTTCTCCTCTGACCATGGCGTCTCCTCTGCTTCCGGTCTCCGGTAATTCTTCGATCTCATACCCCTATTTTCCGTTTTCCATGTTTCTGTTTGGTTTCTCGGAAAGTGAAAAGGGAAAAGATTTGGAAGTTTGATCTGGTTTTGCTCCAAATTTTTGGGGTCCGAACACGTTCCAGTACGACAAGACAACTAGCGTACCTTGTTTGCCCCCTTCTTCTTTGTTTGTTTGGTTTCAGAGAAAATGCAGCATAGGAAGAGCGAAATCGTATAAAATTTGAAGCTTTAACCATTCAATATGTGAACTGTTTATGTTTAATCGTAATGATACATAAGAGCTTTTTTTGGCTTCTGTGTAAACGGGATTGGGTTTTACTTGATTTCTAGGTTTTAGAATTTATTGCTTTCAATTTTCATTTTTACCTAATCGCATCTGCTATTTTCTTAGCTGAAACTTTTCTAGTAATTATATTGCATTTCTGTCCTGTTGTTTGTTGTTCTTGTCATCATTTCTAATTGTTGCTAGGGATTTCTGGTGAAGTTGAATGTATGAGAAGTGATATATCAGTTGGTTCTACTTGTGCCATGGATTTTGCTGCTGAAATTTCTAACCCAGAATGGAAAAAGAGGAGGATTATCTTGAACGAAAATTCTTCATCAAGTGAGATTCTGAGAGAAATTGAGGCTTCTTTACCCACTCTACATAAACCTGAATATTATATGGAACCATGCTTTGATGAGTTGGTGCAAAGGGAATTGATGGATCCTGGGTATTGTAGTCGGGTTCCGGATTTGACTATTGGAAGATATGGTTATGGGTCTGTCAAGTATGTTGGAGAAACTGATGTTAGATTGCTCGATGTAGACGCCATTGTGACGTTTGGTAGGCATGAGATAGTTGTTTATGAAGATGAGAGTGCCAAGCCCTTGGTTGGTCAAGGCCTTAACAAGACTGCTGAAGTAACTTTGGTTCTAAGATTGACATCTGCAAATGTTAAAGAGGGTAGGAAGGAAATAATTGAAGAGAAATTAAGACGGAGCACGGATAGGCAGGGGGCTCAGTTCATCTCGTTTGACCCAGAAAACGGAGAATGGAAATTCTTGGCTCATCATTTCAGTAGGTTTGGATTAAGCGAGGATGATGAGGAGGATATCACAATGGATGATGCTACTCCTGCAGCTCAAGAACCCGTGGATATGAATGGGGATGAAGTCTTGGATGTTGATGAGGAAGCTGAATTAGATCATTCTGGGGGTTTGCTTTCTCACTCTCTCCCTGCTCACCTTGGTCTTGATCCAGTAAAGATGAATGAAATGAGAATGTTGATGTTTCGTGATGAGGAAGAGGACATGGAAGATTTCAATCATACGCATGCTCGTCAAAAACCATCCTTTGGCAAAGATTCTGCCTGGCCATTTTTGCAGAATTTGACACCAATGAACCATAGATCTAGTCCACCAATTGTCCGCAAAACCCCGTTGGCATTGCTTGAGTACAAACATGGTAGTTTTGACTCAAACACTCCTGGAACCATTCTGTTGGCGCAACAAAATAAGACCACTCCTCTCAAGAAGTTGAAAACAGAAGGTTTTAAGCTGGACCTCATGCATGAAACACCAGTAACAGGAAGCCATTCTCGCTGCTTAGTTGATGCAGGGTTGTTCATGGGCAGGTCATTTGGAGTAGCGTGGGGTCCAAATGGAACCCTCATTCATGCTGGTAAACCTGTAGGTGGTAGTGACTCTCAGAAGGTGTTGTCTTCTGTGATCAATTTAGAGAAGGTTGCGATTGACAAAGTGGTTAGAGATGAAAATAACAAAGTGAAAAAGGAACTTGTTGACTTCTCGTTTCATTCTCTATTGTCTCTCCACAAAGAAATAAATCATGAAACAAAAGAATTCGAATTTGGGTCCTTTAAATTGAAGCTTCAAAAACTTGTCTCCAATCGCTTACACCTTTCAGAAATTTGTAGGAGCTATGCAGATATTATTCAGAAGCAGCTGGAAGTGACTGGATTATCCTCCTCTGCCCGCTCTGGTTTGATGCACCAAATAATGGTCTGGGAATTAATAAGAGTTCTTTTCTCTGATAGAGAAAAAAGTGGACAATTGAAAACTTCAGAAGCGGACAATGAGGAGGACATGATGCAGGACGTGAAAGAAGCTTCTCCTGAAGCGGATCCTGAAGCACTTCCTCTTATCCGGAGGGCAGAATTCAGCTATTGGCTGCAAGAGAGTGTTTGCGGTCGCGTACAGGATGATATAAGCTCCCTGAATGAGACCAGTTATCTTCAACACATATTTTTACTCCTGACTGGGCGGCAGTTGGATTCAGCTGCGGAACTGGCTGTTTCTAAGAGCGACGTAAGACTCGCTTGTCTATTAAGTCAAGCTGGTGGATCCATGGTGAATCGTTCTGATGTTGCGAAACAGCTTGATCTATGGAAAGTTAATGGGCTGGATTTCAGTTTTATTGAGAAGGACAGGATAAGGCTTTACAATTTGCTTGCTGGAAACATTCATGGGGCTTTGTATGATCTTGAAATTGACTGGAAGAGGTTCCTAGGTCTATTGATGTGGTATAAATTGCCTCCTCAAGCTTCATTGCCCACTGTTTTCCGTACTTACCAAAACCTTCTTGGTGATGGAAGAGCTCCATGTCCTGTTCCAGTTTATGTCGATGAAGAATTTGAACAGGAGGCTTTAAATTGGAGAACAAAGGAGCGTTATGACATCTCATACTATCTTATGCTTCTTCATGCAAGTGAAGAAAGTGAATCTGGCTTTTTGCAGAATATGTTCAGTGCCTTCTCTTCAACACATGATCCACTTGATTATCACATGATTTGGCATCAACGTGCCGTGCTTGAAGGAATAGGTGCTATCAGTTCTGATGATCTTCATGTTCTTGACATGGGGCTTGTTTCTCAACTATTGTGCTTGGGCCAATGCCATTGGGCCATCTATGTGGTTCTCCATACGTCTTATCGCGAAGATTTTCCGTATCTTCAGGCCAATCTCATTAGGGAGATCTTGTTCCAGTACTGTGAATCTTGGAGTTCTGAAGAAAGTCAACGCCAATTTATTGAGAATTTAGGTGTTCCAGTTGAATGGCTGCATGAAGCATTGGTATGCTACTACTCTTCCGTCTTTATTTTATTTTATTTTTTATTCTTCCCTTTCCCTTGGTGTCTTTTCCTGTACAGCATGTCGATTTGGTAGTTTGCAACAACAGTCTTGTATCTCTAGTTTGAAATCCTTTTTCGGTTCAAGATTATAATATGTTGATACCTTGTCAAACTGTTATGCTGAAAGCTCATTTTATTGGTCTTCTTCAATGGATGAATGATGTTGTACCCCTTAAAATTACATTACTGAAATGGTTGAAATGGTCAAAATGATTAAGACAGATAACTTACTCTCATGTATCATCTTGACAACCTCTTTGCGCTAGTTGAATTGTTTTGTTTTGTGATTTGCAGGCAATTTATCACATTTACGTTAGGAATCACTCAAAGGCTCTTGAACACTTCCTTGAATGTGCTCATTGGCAAAAGGCTCATACTATTTTCATAACCTCAGTTGCACATACACTCTTCTTGTCAGGTAAAATCTATTTTGCTATGAAATAATTGTAATGGGCTGCTGTACTGAGTTTTTTGAGTTTTTTCTCATATGTGTGTGTATTGTGATCACTTATTTTATTTTAGTATAGTGTAAATATGACATTGTTAGGCTCCTGGGAATTCTTTTGGAAATAATTGTAGACTGGAAAGAACAATAGCGTAATTGAATGGAAATAACCAGAAAACAGGTCTGGTTCCTTTTATTGAAGCAAAAGAAACGGAAATACAAATAATAGGGGATTTCGAGGACCCTCTAGCCTCCCAAGTGATCGTCTCCTAATAGCAAAATTCTCGATGCCTTCTCTATTCCTGGCCTAGGCTATTTATTCTCCACCCTGTAACTAACAAGCCACAACCCTCCTATCGTAACACGAATCCCCTTGCCTTCCCACATCCTAATGCTGAATATCCTAACCGTAACGCTTACCCCGAAGCTAACTGATACTCCAAATTACCCTCCAGCCCTTGCTTGCCCTTCTTCCTCCTTCTGGCATACACGAACTTTAGAGGTGGAGACCTAACATTACCCCCCTCCTCGAGTACAACCTTGTCCTCAAGGTTGAAATCTGGAAATTGCTCTTGAATGACAGTGACAGGTTCCCAAGTGGCATCCCAAGAAGGTAGTCCGGCCCACTGAACCAGAACCTCGGCCACGTGACGACCCCTTACAGTGATGGTGCGAGAACCCAAGATGTCGGCAGGCTGCACCAGAAGTTCAAGATCCGCGGTCAACTGAGCAGGGAGGGGTTGACCCTCCTATCGTAACTGCTTCAACTGCGAGACATGAAAAACCGGGTGTATCTTGGCGGAGGCTGGCAGATCCAAGCGATATGCAACCGGTCTGACTTTATCCAGAATAGTGAAAGGCCCATACGCAGGCTCAGTTTTTCGTTAACTTTCTGAGCTAGAGACTTCATGAAGTAAGGGCGAAGTCGCAACAAAACCAAATCACCCGGGGAGAATTGAATCTCTCGGCGACGTCAATCTGCAAAGCGCTTCATATGTTGCTGAGCCAACCTTAGGTGCTCCTGAAGTGCATCCAATATCTGATTACGCTCCTGAAGTTGGACAGCGACCTCATGGACAGCAGTTGAACCATCTTGAAATCGGTAGAGTATGAGGATTGCGGCCCTAGACTGCCCGAAAAGGGGAACACTGAATGGACGCATTATAATGTGTTGAACCAATATTCAGCCCATGGCGCAAGTAAAGCAGCGAAGGTACGTTTCAAAACAACGGTTGGTAACCTCAGACTGGCCGTCAGTCTGCGGGTGGTTGGCAGTGCTCGGCTGGAGTTTGGTCCCCTGCAGTTTGAACAACTCACGCCATAACAGACTCATGAAAATCAGGTCGGGGTCACTCACAATCGAACGGGGAAAACCATGCATGCGAACGATTTCGCGAACAAATATTGAGGCTACCTGCTTAGCTGAGAACGAATGAGCCAAGGGGCAGAAATGTGCGTATTTGGAAAGCCGGTCGACGACCACCAAAATAGTGTCCATCCCCTGAGATATTTAGGTAGACCCCCAATGAAATCCATAGCGAGATCTTCTCAAATTTGCTGCAGAATCGGCAAGGGCTGCAACAAGCCCGCTGGTGACAGAGCTTCCATTTTAGCCAGTTGACACTTTTCGTAGCTGGAGACATAATCTTTGATAGTCTGTTTCATACCTTTCCAAAAGAAATTCGTCGAAATTTGTTTGTACGTCCGCAAGAACCCCGAGTGGCCCCCTATGACTGAACTGTGGAAATCATGACGCACTGAGGTATCCAAGCAGAAATCTGTTCACTCACGGGCCTACCCTGGCGGATATCCATGATGAGGGCACGACAATCTGCATCCTCGAGCTGTCCCTGTTTGAGGGCTTCCGTGTCGACCTAGTGAAGGATAGAGAGAGCTGCAAACTGTACATGTGAGCCTTCCCCACGGCGCGAAAGTGCATCCGCCACTCGATTCGTTGCACCTGGCTTATATTGCACCTTGAAGTCATAGCCCAGCAACTTGGTAATTAGCCACAGCTGCTTGGGTGGTAAGACTCGTTGGTCCAAAAGAAATTTTAGGCTCTGTTGATCCGCTCGAATGATAAAATGTCGCCCCAAAAGGTAGTGCCGCCATTTTTGGACGGCCTGGACAATGGCGAGAAGTTCCCGTTCATATACTGACTTCAACGTTCATATACTGACTTCAACCAGGAAGAGGGAGAAAGGGTCTTACTGAAATATGCGATCGGCCTCCCGTCTTGCATCAACACCGCTCCAACCTCGCTACCTGATGCATCAGTCTCTAGGATAAACTCCCTAGTGAAATCCGGCATTGCTAATACTAGAAGTTCAGTCATGGTGCACTTAAGTCGACAGAACGCGGCCTCCTCTGTGGGTGTCCATGTGAAGCCTCTCTTGAGCAAATCAGTGAGGGGCCGAGCGAGTGAGCCATATCCCTGAACAAACCGTCAATAGTAACCAGTGAGACTGAGGAATCCACGAAGTTCGCAGACATTTCGCGGAGGCGGCCAAGACAACATTGCGTTGATTTTGGAAGGATCTGCAGACACTCCCTTTGCCGAGAGCACATGCCCCAAATAATTGATCTGCCCTTGCGCAAAGACACTTCCCGTAGTTAGCAAACAAAGCCTCACTATGCAGCACTTCCAACACGTTCCGCAGGTGAGTATAGTGGTCCTCCCATGACCTGCTATAAACCAATATATCGTCAAAAAACACAAACAAATTTTCGCAGGAAAGGGCGGAATACCGAGTTCATTAATGCTTGGAAGGTGGCCGGGGCATTGGTAAGGCCGAAGGGCATGACGAGGAACTCGTAATGCCCCTCATGCGTTCGAAAAGTCGTCTTCTCCACATCGCTCTCGCGAACCCGTATCTGATGATAACCAGACTTTAAGTCTAGTTTAGAAAACACCATCGCGCCATGTAATTCGTCCAACAGCTCATCAATTATTGGAATCGGGAACTTGTCCGGAATCGTCAGCTAATTCAAAGCTCTATAGTCGATACAAAATCGCCAACTGCCATCTTTCTTCTTGACCAGGAGCACCGGACTAGCATAAGGACTGCTACTAGGTTGAATGATCCCAAAGGCCATCATATCTGCTACTAACCTCTCAATTTCGGCCTTTTGAACCTGCGGGTAACGATAGGGTCTGATGTTTGGCGGTGTGGCGCCATCTCGAAGGACAATGCAGTGCTCCCTTGTGCGTGGTGGAGGCAATCCCTCGAACATGCTAAATACAGTGTGGAATTCCCGGATGAGTTGTTCACACCGTGGCGGGATTGGGCGGATTTCCCCTTCTGCCTGACCGTCGTTTGCTGTGCGAATTTCCAACAGTACCCCATCCCTTGAATTGGTCCAAATCCGAGATAAGGAGCGCAGGCTGATTAGGGAGTAACTCAAGTAAGGGTCACCTATCCAACAGACCCACTCCGCCCCTTTCTGAAACCTCATAGTGAACTTGGCCCAATCAGCTCGAACCTCCCTTAACGTCCGCAACCATGAAATTCCTAAGACCAGATCGGCACTGCCCAACTCAAATGGAAAGAAATCTTCGACTACCCGATATCCTTGTACAAGCACCTGTACCCCCCTGCAAACTCCACTTTGTTGGAAACTCATTCCATTGCCTTACCTCGATCTTGTGTCGAACGGATAAATCAGTGGGCATGGCGAGACTGTGCACTAGATCAGCAGCAATGAAGCTGTGAGAGGCTCCACTATTCACCAAAATAATCACTTCCCTCTCTCCCAGCGTCCCCTTTAGCTTCATCGTTTTGGTCGTGGCCACCTTGAGAGAGTTCATAGATAACCCCAGAACTTCCTCTGCCGGCCTTCCCGCATCCTTGGTCGGCTCTTCCTCTTTTTCCTGGTTCTCCCCTTCACTTCCCTCGTCTTCCCCCACTGCGAGAAGCACCTGCAGCAGCCGATTTTTGCATCGGTGGCATGGGCTGAATTTCTCATCGCACCTGAAGCATAACCCACGTGCGGGCCTATGTTGGACCTCATTGTAGGACAATCGCTGGAAATTGGAGCCACCGGCCGCCGTTGGACCTCCTGCCGTCTTGGGTTCACGATTTCGATGAGCCGTACCTAGGTCTCGCGAATTTTGGGATCGAAGGGAGCTCTCAAGTCTTTCTACGGGGCTGTAAGTTGGCGGATTCGGGTTTGGGCTGCTAAACCCGGCTCGCCCACTCCACTCGGATCGGATATTTTGCCCCGCCCGAACCTTCCGGATCCGATCCACGGCCTCCAACCGGTCCTCTGCTTGCTGGGCTAGATACATAGTCTCCCTCAGGTTAATGGGCCTATGCATTTTTACCTCAGCCCTGATGTCCTCCCTCAGCCCATTGAGAAAAGCCCATCGGAAGACATTCTCGGGTATACCCCTCATCGTCGCTGCGAGAGTCTCGAACTCATCCCTATACTCCACCACTATCCCACCTTGTCGGAGCCATCAGCCTTTCCGTTGGATCTCCCTCCCGAGAACGGCCGAAGCGTTGGAGGATGGCTTCCCGTAAGTCCATCCAACCGACGAAGGGCTCCTGGCCGTTGACCCACTGGTACCACCCTAGTGCCCTCCCCTCCATGCAGACGAAAGCCGCCAAGACCTTCTCTCCCTCGTTAATGTCGTTAATCGTAAAATAACGTTCGGCTCGGAAAATCCACCCATGTGGATCCTCTCCATGAAATAAAGGTAGTTCCAGTTTGTTACCTCGGTGTTCCATCTGTGTGCGTGGTCTTTCCGGTGACCGGTAACGGTGATAGCCGGTGATAGCCATCTCTTCCCCTCGCGTGTTCTCTCTTCAGTGGGCTTGGATCTGCTCGGGTTGGGCGGCTTGGTTCTCGCTTGGGGTGGAGTCGATCGTTCCGGATCTCCCCCGGGGGAGAGTAGTCTTCCCTGGCTCTCCTCGGAGGAGAGCGTTGGTTGCGAACTTGCTGGATCATGAGCTCCTCGAGTCGGTTGATCGGTCGATCGGTCCCTGTATACCGTCCACCTTGGCTCCCATCGTGGCTACTTCCCCTTGCACCTCGCCGAGCCTCACTCCCACGGATGCCACCTCCTCCTGCAACCTTGGCACTGGTTCCACCAACATTTCGAAGGTTTGTAGAGCATCCTGGAAATTGTTCAGCCTCCTCTCCGGCGGTCCCCAACGATCTTGCTGGTTTGCCATGGATTGACGTGCTCTGATACCAAATTGTTAGGCTCCTGGGAATTCTTTTGGAAATAATTGTAGACTGGAAAGAACAATAGCGTAATTGAATGTAAAATAACCAGAAAACAGGTCTGGTTCCTTTTATTGAAGCAAAAGAAACGAAAATACAAATAATAGGGGAATTCAAGGACCCTCTAGCCTCCCAAGTGATCGTCTCCTAATAGCAAAATTCTCAAATGCCTTCTCTATTCCTGGCCTAGGCTATGTATTCTCCACCCTGTAACTAACAAGCCACAGCCCTTCTATCGTAACACGAATCCCCTTGCCATCCCACATCCCAATGCCGAATATCCTAACCGTAACGCTTACCCCGAAGCTAACTGATACTCCAAATTACCCTCCAGCCCTTGCTTGCCCTTCTTCCTCCTTCTGGCATACACGAACTTGAAAGGTGGAGACCTAACAGATATGGCCAACTTTCCTTCCCCTTCTATATGAAGAGAAAGATATTTTCATTAATGATACTTTCCCAAAAAAAAACTCAAAATTTTGCTCAACCTTTCTGCTGATATTAATGATATCCGCAACTTATCTTTCACTTGCAGAAGGAGCAAACCACGTCCTTTCAGATGATTTGTAAAGGACTTGCTATACAACCAGTCTGTCAAAGTTTCTGATTTTTTTTTCTTTTTGTTTTTTAATATAGGCAAACACTCTGAGATATGGAAGCTTGCAACTTCAATGGAAGACCACAAGTCAGAGATTGACAATTGGGACTTGGGGACTGGAATTTACGTTTCATTCTATTTTCTGAGAAGTTCACTTCTTGAAGATAATGATACAATGACTGAACTGGTAAGATAACTAACCCCCCTCGCACATTTTGCCCATATGAAACTAAAGTGATTCAGGTCGAGGCACTTTTTTTTTGCCCATAACAGGAAGCTGACAATATGAACATGAAGTGCGATGTGATAAGTTCTCTTAAAGCCTATGCTGAAAAGAATATACAATTGATATTCCTTTTTATGGTGTTTGTTAAATGTAAAAGAGGGGTGAAAGCTCGCTCCTTAATCTTGAATATCCTGAAAATGCATTGTCGATCATCTTTGTTTCTTTTCCTGATTAGCATTGAGAGTCACGGATATCTTTGCAGGATTTTCTCGAGAGCAAAAATGATGCTTGTAGAAACTTTATTAGTCAGTTAAATGAGTCCTTGGCGGTTTGGGGTGGACGACTGCCAGTTGAAGCGAGGTATGTCATCCTTGCATGTGTACAAATATCTTTGATTAGAATTTGCAGATGTGTGGAACTTCTATATACACATATATGAACAGCATCAAACCTAAGCTTCATCAGTTCTGCTGCCATGTTGTATAAAGTTATGTAGTACGGCATATGAAATATCGACATCTCATGGAAAAAACTAGGCCACAATTTTACTTATAGCTTAGTATATTTCCGAGACGTTTCATCACAAAAATCTTTTTAAGTTTGTGCTTACATGGTGGTTGACCACTCTGAGTTGCAGAGTAGCGTATTCAAAGATGGCGGAGGAGATGAGCAGTTTGCTACTATCTGATCTTGGGGAGGGCTCCACCCGTGATGTGCAATTGAGCTGTTTTGACACAGTCTCTAACGCTCCAATCCCCGACGAACTCCGCTCAAGTCATCTGCAAGAGGCAGTGTCTCTTTTTACATGCTATCTTTCGGAGGTGGCCACCTAGGAAAAATGATAAAAGTTCCAACCATTGCGAGTAGTGGTGTTCGCTTGGCCTTGAAGTCTCTTATGATGTAAAAGTTGGTCGTGCTTGTGATGACCCTCATTGCCTGCAACTTCACTTGGTTTTGTTTCTCAATCTTGGTCTTGGGAGTGTTTTTCACTCATCTATTAGACATGTTGAGAAAGTAGAGGTCCTAGAAAACGGACAGAGGTGTCTTGTATACTTTTTGCCTAGTAACCATTTATAAGATTTGCTTTCGAATGCATTCTTATTCACAAAGGCTACGAAAAAGCTAATTTGTTGTTTTGTTTTTTTTTTGGTTGTGGATCCTTTTGTATTAATTATGAATGTACTCAAATTGTACAACAAGGTAAAAGGGTGTTTTTATTTAAAAAATAAATACGAGAAACTTGGGGTGTGAAAATTCAATAACGGGTAAATCAAGCCTTCAACACGTGCTTCTAGAGAAAATTAAAAATTCTCTCTTCCTTTCGTTTCACTTCTATAAGATAAATTTAACTTATACTTGGGGTTAAATTAATTTTTAGTTGTCGAATTATAGGTCAAATCTCATTTAGTCCTTTGAGTTTTAAAATATTTGAAATTAGAATAATCTATTAAGGATGGTTCTATTTACCCAACCCGTCCTTTTGTACTCTCTACACTCATTTTTAAATACACACTCTTAATTTTATAAAGATTAAATTTACTTTTTAAACACTTTTATTATTCTAAGATTACCCTTAGCTATTTTCATAAAATTATTAATTCTTGATCAATAGTTTATTTTTCTTTCCACACCTGCCATTTTAGTTTAATCTTTTATTTTTAAATATTATCATTTCTTTATCTCTATTTTTTTTTTGAAGTTTTGGGCGTGAAATTTTTACTAATGCATAAAGAAAATCGCTATTATATATTCTTTAGAAAAATGAAAGACATAAATATAAGAGCAACAACAACCTGATTGTTACATCAATTGAAGTATTGATAAAATAAAAATAAAAATAAAAAAAGACAAAATAAAAAACGCGAGTTTTAAAAAGTATAAAAAAGGTGAGAGAATGAAACATAAAAAAAAAAAAAATCCAACTTTATAAAAACAAAAGGCCAAAATGAAATAATCATCCTTTGAAAAACAAAATGATTAGTTAAAAGACAGAATTTGGAATATAATATGTGGAGTGTCTTGAAAGGGAAAAAAATGCAATCAGTTTTCTTTTATAATAAAATTTAATTAAGTAATTAAGTTAAGTTTTTATATTTGTCTTTTTTTTTCATTTTATGTGAGGGTGTTTTTATCATACAAAATTTTAATTTAAAAGGGGTCTAAAGAGTAAAAAAGGGTGTGAATAAAACCACTCATCTATCAAATTATTTCAAATTCGCCACTTTCTTTATTAGTAATTAAAATCTCAAGCAGTATCCTAAAATAAGAGACTTTTTTGGTGTTCTTTTTTTTTTATGAATACATGTGTTTCTTACTTATCAGTCGTCAGATCTCTATTAAATCTAATAAAAAGTCTAATCAGATTGAAAAAATAATACATATCCGATGGCTTATAAGCAAGGAACACCGGTGTTCCCAAAATAGAAGGAACACCAAAGAAATTCCCTTAAAATAAAAGAAACCACAAAATCAATCTACATTAAACTACACATCGTTGTTACATGTCTTTTTCCATTGAGATTTTAACAATCAAGGGATAGAATGAATATATTGAAAACTTAAGGTATGTTTGGTATATGAGTTTAAATTAGGGTTTTTTATTATGATTTTTAAAATTTAAATTTTTTATGAAAAAAAAACTCTGTAGCAAAACAAAACTATAAGTTTGTACTATAGGAGAACCAATATACAAAGCATACACTTAATAAATCGAAAACTCATTTTAAGGTGTTTTAAAATTTAAGGACCATAAATGAGTTTGGCCTATTAGATAGGATATAGGCAACAAAAAGTGATGCTACAAAATAAATAAATAAATAAATAAATAAACATGGACTTTCTTTTGTGTTCATTCTTTTTTTTTAAATATTGGCATTTTTTACTTATCAGTCGTTAAATTTATATTAAATTTGATTAAAAGTTAAATTAGATTAAAAAGTTATACATATTTAATGCCTAATAAGCAAGAAACACCAAAGAAATTCTAAAAAAATGCTGAAGAGAGAATAAAATTCCAACATAAGAAAATGAGTATGTGAGAATGGAATTTCTCTAGTATTCTCTGTATTTTGAAGAATACTAGTATTTTTTGTTTAATAATCATTAAATTTATATTATTTTTTAATTTAATTTAATTTTTAATTAAATTTAACAATTAATAATTAAAAAAACACTGATATTCTTCAAAAAGAGACGAATCGACAAAGTTCGGGAGTACGAGTGAAAAATTAACAAAAACTAATTAATAAATAAAACGCAGGCGATTTGATTAAAAGCCACCCTTTTTCCTAGTGCTACCGCACGCGGCCCACCCGACCAGGTTAATGAAAAGAAAAGGGAAGTAAAGAGGAGCGTACTACGCACCCCCATAACCTGCAAAACTACACACACCACGTCATCACTTTCTCTTCTCTCCACTCCTCTCTCTCTCTCTCTCTCCTCCCCTCTGTGCGAGACTTTCTCTCTCTAGAAAATTGGGCGAAGCTCAGAAGCGACGAACCTCCATAGCTCGCTTGGTCTCTTTCTTTTTTTTTTTTTATTCTTGCTTAGAGTAATTGGCGAAGAAGATGAGGAAGTCCGCCTTGAGAAAAACGGGTCAACACAACTCAACAAGCTCCGTCAATTCTTCCGCCGCGGATCTCTTTCGCTCCGGTCCTTACTCCGATCTTCCTCTCTTTCTTTTCTTCTTTCTTCGATTTCGCCGAAATTTCCCTCAATTTTACTTGCATCATCGACGTGCCTTGATGCTTTACCAAGAAAAAAATAAAAGAAAAATTGAAACTTTGGGAATTCGTTGATTTATCAGAACGATGATGCAATATTGAGGATATATATATATATTGAAATTGAGGAACTATTGAACGCCGAAATGCCACAAGCAATCAAGATCTTTTTTTTTTTTTAATTGCTTGGGTTTGATCTGTTATTTTTATCAAGTAAGGTACTTTCTTGATCAGCAAATGTGTGGGTCTACACACATATGATATATATGTATATATTCATAGTGAGAGATGTCGATATGCGTTTTTTCTTGGTGCATTTTTCAGCAAGTTGTTGTAATTCGTTTAACATGTCCTGGAATCTAACGTTTAATTGTCATATTTCAGCCTCCAGTAAAGCCTCTACAAAAGAGCTTGAACGGATTGATAACTTGTTCTTTTCATATGCTAATGGGTCTTCCGGGATGATTGAGTAAGTACACTCTACAACAAACATTCTGAATCTGTACTTGGTACCCTGTTTAATTGGCTAAATTTATAGTTTTGCAGTCAATAGCAGAGATTCTACTTATATTTAGTATTTGTGTACAAACTATTTCTGCTGATGAAATAGAATTCAGAGTTGATACCCATATCCTTTCTTTTGTCTTCTTAGTAATTCATATGCAATAGCTCTAATTGACTTCCCTGGCTAATTGATTTTTTTTTTTTTTTAAAATAAGTCAATGAACCCTTGGTAGTAAATCCACACCTACATCCAACGTTGAGGTCTAGAGTTCAAATTTCCCCTACCCCAACCTGTTTAAACCTCGGTTGTGACTATGCAAATCCTATCTAAATACTTAGCTGATTTCCATTTACACTTCACGGAGTGTGCACACAATTTGCATGGCCCGTTTGTTCAGAGGTTTAAATAGAAAGTTTGAACAAAAATTTGAGTTTGTTTAAATTTTTGCAATTGAAAACACTTAGCAAAAAATATTTGAACCAAAACTTTTTGGTTCAAACCTACGAAACAAACATAGGCCTTATTGACTGCATTTTGTGCAGCCCGGAAGGAATTGAAGCTCTTTGTTCAGATTTGGATGTGGATCATACCGATGTGAGGATCCTGATGCTCGCATGGTAACTAATATTTGCAGTCATTTGATACCTCACTTCTTTATGTTTAACCTTTGGCTTAAGATCTAACGGACTGCATATACCAGGAAAATGAGATGTGAGAAACAGGGATATTTTACACTGGTAAGTGATATTATTTTCACATTACATTTTTTTTCTGGAAATTAAATAGTTGATAAGTTATTGGTGTAGCTCTGCTATATTTTACTTTTCTAATAATTCCTGTATGCTGCATATTTGTATCACCAACACTATTGAATGACACTGCCAATCTTGTCTTTGATAGGAAGAGTGGCGAAGAGGCCTCAAAGCATTAAGGGCTGACACTGTAAATAAATTAAAGAAAGCACTTCCAGAGCTAGAGAAAGAGGTAAAATTTTGAATTTCTTTTTTTTTTTTTTAATTTATTATTACTCTTGTTGTTTGGTATTTTCATTCATTATAAAAGTGTGATGGAAGGTCATTAGAATTCTGATTCTTTTTATTTTATTCTTTTCAATATTAAAAGGTCAGGAGGCCATTGAACTTTGTGGATTTCTATTCCTACGCATTTCGATATTGTTTAACAGGTAGCTATTTTACTTTGGAAAATAGTTTATTCCTCAAACGTAATTGTTTTTCTTTGTTCTGAAAATTTATATGCATGCCTATTTAACCTTCTGCAATTTATTGTCAGAGGAGAAGCAGAAGAGCATAGATATAGAAAGCATCTGTGAACTACTGAATATTGTTATGGGGTCGGAATTTCGTGCCCAGGTTGACTTATTTATTGAGTATTTAAAGGTGAGTGGCTGCATTGTGTTGTGCTTTGCTGAATTTACAACTACTGCAGCTCATGTATATAACTCTTCGAAGATCTGATTAGAAAAAACCTCATGTGTCTAACTGTAGTTCAGAGGAAGTTGTCCTATCTATTTAAGCCGCAAATAATAAGATTCTTTTACTGAATGGAAATGGAGAAATGATTACAATATATTTGTTGCATGTTTTTATGAATGCAGATACAGAACGATTACAAGGTCATAAACATGGATCAATGGATGGGCTATTACCGGTTTTGCAATGAGGTATTCTTAATTTCTTACAGTTTTTTTTTGTTTTTTCATTTTCAAATATCTCCATTTATTTCCCATTTAATACTTAACATTCTGCCAATGGTGCGACTCTAAGATCTAATTCCTGGATAATTGTAAATTAATTTTTTTGTTAGTACTCTAGTAGTGGTAGCCCTGAGTGTTTTTAAGCCCCCCATTCGTTTCACCTACGCTAGGCGTGCCATTGGCCAAGCACGTGGTCTAGTGGTGAGGTGGTTGCTGGAATTGATTTTGGTGTTTGACAAAGTTTTAAGAGAATGAGCTGATTTCTCTTGCAATAAAGTTTTTTTTTTATTTTTTTAGTTATTATTTTTTTTATAATGCCATTACTAATGCATTATTATTGTTGAACAGATAAGTTTTCCAGGCCTTGAAAATTACGATCCTGATCTTGCCTGGCCATTGATTCTGGACAATTTTGTCGAGTGGATGTGGGAGAAGCAAAACTAAAGCTGATAAATTTTCAGTCAACTCGATTCCGTGCTGTAAGCCAAAACTATTGCCAAAGTAGGTGCTCTTTAAATCTCTGTTTTTCCACGCCGAATGATTTATTGGCATCGCAGTAGCCTTGCTGCTAAATCCTTTTATTAACGTTGATTTTTTAATGGCTAATCATAACGTCATTGTGATTCCTATTGTTACAGGGCTACCAAACTACATACATGATACATCAGATGGCCCCAGAAATCTTTTTTTTTTTTTTTTCTTTTCCCTCCAAACACATGGTCAATGCGCAAAATTGCTCACCTTTGGAAATTACATGTATGTGATAGTAATTTATGCTTGAGAAAGTCTTGAAACATGTTTTTTCTTTTTTATTTTTAATTGTTTTGCGGCTTCCATTATTAATAGTGGATACTAATCATACTATTCACCCAATTGGTTGTTGCAAGTTATTTGAGCTGATCCTCTTAAACCCTCTCAAAAGTTTGTTTCCTATGATGGAAACGATTAGGGGTGAACAAATTATAGCCTTGTTTCGATTACCATTATACTATATTTTTATCATAATCTCTGGTGGGTATGCCTACTTTTGTTCTACTTTTTATTTTTTATCATTGTGGGAATGACCTAAAATGCCCGCGGGGGATTTGGACACTTTGGGTTGATTGGCAACCATCATCGTTTGAAATTGGCAAATATGCATGTTCTTTGAGTAATCTTGACAAATATTCTTAAAAAGTATATAGATTAGAATTTTTACATTTTATTTTTAATTTATAACCTTTTTAATTAAAATTACAATAAAATAGTATTTATTAAGAATAAGAGGTAAAGGTTCATATTCATACACTCTCAAAGATAAATTATCTATTTTTTCACGTTTTTCTTTTCACAATTAATAAGAAATATATCGAGATCGTTTGGTAACGTTTTCAAAAATGACGAGATTGTTTTGAGAATCATTTTAGGATCAATTTTAAAATTGTATTTAGTTTGTTTTTTAAGAAATTATTTTGAGTATAATAGAAAAATAAAATCGTGTTTAGTTATAATTATTAATTAATATATTATAACATTATATATAAGTACTAAAAAATGAAAACAGAAAAGAAAAAATAATTTTTAACCGTTTTTTAATTTCTTCACAAAAGTCAATCACTGTTTTTTATTTTCATTTTCGTTTTTAAAGCATTTACTAAATAAACGCAATTTGCATATCGTTTTTATTTTTATGTCTCAAAAAACATACAGAAAAATTTTCAAAAACAATTTAAAACTAATTTTAAACGCATCCATCTTTTTCCTTTCTAATTATGTGAGTGATGTGTGGGTGAATCCCATTTTCCGTTACATTTTTGTTGATCCATTAGCGCCAAGAGAGAAAAAGGAACCCCATTACATGGTAAAAGTGGAGAGCCTTCGACCTATAAAAATTGATAGGCACCGCTATTCTTGTCGGGATAAAGTGGAAAATAGAATAATTAATGAAGTGATTAATAAATTATAGTATATTTTTTAAAAATAATATATTATAGTATAATTTAATATTTTAAGTTTTAAACATTATTAAAAACTTAAAAATACTCATAAATCTTTTTTTTTTTCACCTTACTTCCCCCTAAATATTTATTTTTAAAAAAATAATAAATTATAGCATATTTTTTAAAATAGGTAGATTATAGTTAAGTCTACATTAACCGGGACCGGCAGCTGACTTCACAACTAGAGACCATTTTCTGACAACCTATGACGTTTTTCTGACGACCGATGACCATTTTTCAATGATCGGTGACCGTTTTTCTGTGACTGTTTACCACTGTATTTACCGGTAAATACCGTATTTACTTGAAAAGTTGACCACTGACTCCAGCGATCATTTAACGCTGTATTTACAGGTAAATATTGTATTTACCAATAAATATTGTATTTACTAGTAAATATCATATTTACTCAAAAAATACGGCAACCGACTTCGGTGACCGTTTAACACTATATTTACCAGTAAATATCGTATGTAAAAGTAAATATCATATTTATCTGAAAATTCATGCACCGATTCCAGCTATCGTTTAACACTGTATTTACCAGTAAATATCATATTTACGAGTAAATATCATATTTATTTGAAAATTTGACTACCAACTCCGGCGATCATTTAACACTGCATTTACTAGTAAATTCAGTATTTACTAGTAAATATCATATTTATCTGAAGATCCCGCCATCGACTCTGATGGCCATTAAACACTGTATTTAATGATAAATATTGTATTTACTAGTAAATACAAATTTATCTAAAATTTAGCCGTCGACCCCGGCGACTGCTAAATACTGTATTTATTGATAAATACTGTATTCACTAGTAAGTATAATATTTACCCTATTTATTTGAAAATCTGACAACTTATTTTAATGATTGTTAATACTGTATTTATCGATAAGTACTATATTTACTAGTAAATACGGTATTTATTATATTTATTTAAAAATCTAGCGACCGACTCCGGCGACCAGTATATATCATATTTATCTAAAAATTTAGCTGTCGACGATTAGTAAATACCATATTTATTATATTTATTTAAAAATTTGATAACAAGTTTTAACAACTGATAAATACCGTATTTACTGATAAATACTATATGTACCATATTTATACAAAAATCTGATAATTAACTCTGATAATTGATAAATACTATATTTACCGTAAATTCAAATAAAACTAAAATCACAAGGAAAAAATCACCGTCGGCAAAAAATAAAAACAACGGTAAATCTGCCATCATGGTGGCCAAAAAAACAAACAACATTTCTCAGAAAAGAAAAAAAAACTCTCAAATCAGATTTATCTCTGTTTGGTAGAAGGATTCG